CCTGTTCATCATCTTTACGCGTCCTCCATAGTCACATTAAGCTATGCTCGATGGTCCCATGATTTGTACGATCGTTTCCATGTTCACATTTTAATCAAGCGAGAAGCGTAATCTCCTCGTATGCACTTTACTTTCTTCTTCTACTTCTTTTTCTCTAACTTCATGGTCACTTTGTGTACATTTCATAATTTGTCATTTGTCGGACATGCCTGGTAGTGCCTTGTTGCGTCGCCAGGTGGCGTGTTGGCCTTTATTGCATATTAATGCGTTGATTGAAATTTAAATTGAAATCGAAATGAATATTAATATAAGAGTAGGCCAATTAGAAGTGCGATATTTCGTACAAGGCAACATGACTGATTGGTGAAAGATTTCCGCTTTCATAAACAACAGCAACAACAACTTTTACTTAACTTCGTTTTTGTTGTAGTTGTTGTTGTTTTATGCGCTTGAGCGTGTGCAAAATGCAACACATTTTTATTTAACAGTGAGTGTTTTTTTGTAGTTTCAACAAGCTGGATAAGGGGTGGGGAGAGGGGAGTTGCAGGTGTGCGTGTGTGGGGTGTGTGAGCTGTATTTTGAGTGGGTGGAATGGAAAGGAAAGCAACGCGCGCCGAATTGCATTTGGCAATAAAAGTGAAATATATATTGGCAAGCACTTTCGTTGCCGAAAAGAAAACTCAAACCGCCACCCCCCCCCCCCCCCCCCCCCCCCCCTCCCCGCATCCAATAGTACAGTGAAAGCTCCACGAATGGACAACGCCTTCGGCCAGCTTAATTTGTTATTTACAACCATCGATCCCATTTAATCAAATATACTCCAGATAATCCCTCTCTCCGTTTCTATGCAAAGTGGTCTCTCATTTTGAAGAAACTTTGCCCAAGTCCAAGTCTTTACGTTGGATGCAGTTAATCTATCGATATCATGTGCTTAGATCTAAATGAGGGAACACATCTTTGTTCTGGTATACTTCTATGCTTTTCACAATATCTGGAGCGAACTCTAGCTGTAGGTATCATTGGCCGAAAATTGAGTTTTATATAAAAATGTTTTCAAGATTTTCATCTATGTAATTTTAAGCCTGACACGCGAACGCAAGCAGCCAATTTGGCTTAACAAACTCTTTTTATCTTTGGGTAGAGCATATAAAGACATGTCTCAAAATCGATATTTATCGATGTTGCGCAAAAACATAAGCCTAAAAATCGATTAAACAACTTATTCAAACTATTGGCGTCGCGTTCTGCCTGTTACAGAAACAGTAAGCATGAGTGTTCGCTCGAGGGAGCTTTCACTGTAGCATATACCATCCATATATCATATTTACGCGACATACACATCATCAACATGATAGGCGCGCCCCATTCAAACCGGTCGTCGTCTTGGCTTGGCTTTGGCTTGGCTGGGCGACCGGTTGGCTGGTCAAGTGCTTGGCCAAAAAGGCGCCCAGCAACTTTCACAAGCCATTGACTTCGTCCAACAGAGACAATTAACAAATTGCATTCATTGTGTTTGTTTTTTTTTTTTTTTCTGCTGCTTGCAGTCGCAATCGAAGGCATCGACGCTGTCGTCGGGCGCACGCGCCGCCGCTCAAACGCTGAACGTGCCGCTGGAGCGTCTGGAGTCGCGCCAGGCGCATGCCCAGCGCCAGGAGCACGCCCATTCCAATGGCAACCAGGAGGAGCAGCAGCAACAGCAACATCAACAGCAACAGCAACAGCAGCAGCAGCAGCAGCAGCAGCAGCAGCAAGTGGAGCTGCATCATCAGCAGCAGCAGCAGCAGCTGGAGGATGCTGCCGAGGAGCAGCAGCTGGCGGATCAGCAGCGTTACATGAAGCAGCAGAGCTATCTGCACTCGGCACGCAAATCGAATGCCGGCCAGCAGCCCAGCTCCCTGACCAATGGCCACCAGCAGCAGCAACAACAGCAACAGCAACAGCAACAGCAGCAACAGCAGGCGGCGCATCATGACTTGGACGGCAACTATATGTTGCAGGATGAGTTAAATGGCAGCGGCACGCCGCCATCTGTGACCAAGTACTCACTGCTGCAGTTCGCCATGCAGCATTTCCGCAATGAGTAAGTGCATCCAGTCTACGTCCAGCTCACACTCAGCTTTATTTCACCCCCTCTCTCCAGTCAACTGCGCGATGCGGATCGACATCACGAACGGCATCAGTCATCGGCTGCGAACCGCTCCTATGCGGAGCTGGTCAAGTGGCAGGGCCATGCCATACGCCTGCCCCTGCTGCGTCTGCCCAATGATCTGGCCCCGTTGGCGCTTGAGTGTTTCGATTGCATACTGCGCTACTGCGGCGACATACCGCTCGATCCGGAGCTGACCGAGGTCAAGTGCGTCTACACCGTCTTAATGGTAGGTCTCCTTAATCAACTGCCTGTAGCTGTTGCTAATCTTATGTTCCTTGCCAGCATTGTCACAAGTATCTGGCGCTGCGAGATGAGGTCTATTGCCAGCTGATGAAGCAGACGACGGCGAATCGTTCACCCTGTCCGGACAGCTCGCAGCGCGCGTGGCGTCTGCTCAGCATATTGGCGGCCTACTTTGGCTGCTCGGACGCACTGCGTCCGTATCTGATGGAGCATCTGACATCGGCCGCCTCGGATCGCCGTCGCTCGTGCCATGGCACCGCCGCCGTCTGCCTAACGAATCTCCGGAAAACGGCGCGCTGCGGCGGACGCAAGAATGTGCCCAGCGTCGAGGAGGTGACGGCCGTCTCGGCGGGTCGCTCGGCCCGTCGCCAGATCTATAGGCTGCCTGGCGGTGCGGAGCGTGTGGTCAACACGCGCTGCTCCACAGTGGTCGCCGATGTCATTGCCGAGCTGTGCGCCCTGCTCGGCGTCGAATCGGAGGCCGAGCAGCAGGAGTTCTCACTTTATTGCATCGTGCAAGGGGACGCGTTCACAATGCCGCTGGCAGCCGACGAGTACATCCTGGACGTGACTACAGAGCTGCTCAAGTCCGGACAGCCATTCTATTTGATATTCTGCCGTTCCGTCTGGCACTTTGCGCTCAAGCGCGAACCGGCGCCAATGCCGCTGTACGTGGAGGTGCTCTTCAATCAGGTGGCGCCGGATTATCTGGAGGGTCTGCTCCTAGAGCTGCCCGGCAATGGTGTGCCCATGCCGGAAATGGTACGGGACATGGCACGCATCGCTGCCCTGCTGCATCGGGCCGCCGATCTGAGCCATGTGCCGGCCATGAAGGAGATCAAATTTTTGCTGCCCAAGCCGGCGCTGGGCATACGCGAGATACGGCCCGCCCAGTGGGTGGGCCTGGTGCAGTCGGCGTGGCCGCAGGTGGCCGGTCTGAGTCCGGGCCAGGTGAAGGCTCAATTCTTGAACGTGCTGGCCGCCTGGCCCCTGTTCGGCAGCAGTTTCTTTGCGGTGAAACGCATCTGGGCCGAGGAGGGGCCGCACGTGGAGGACAATCACAGTCCCATGTGGCGGGATCTGATATTGGCCTTGAATAGACGCGGAGTGCTATTCTTGGATCCAAACACACACGAAACACTGCAGCACTGGAGCTTCATGGAGGTCATCTCCACGCGCAAGGTAAGCGAACGAAGCACATATTTATCTATCTATCGATTGTTCCAGCTCATGCCCTCTCTCTCTCTCTCTCTCTCCCTCTCTCTCTCTCTGTCGTAGGTGCGCTCCGAGGATGGCGCCCTCTTCCTGGACATGAAGGTGGGCAATCTAATGCAGCAGCGCGTCATACGCGTCCAGACGGAGCAGGCGCACGAGATCTCGCGCCTGGTGCGCCAATATATCACCATGGCCCAGATCAGTCAGCGCGACAAGCGGGAGCTTAACTAGATGCAACGAATATTACGCATATGTTTATTATTATTATTATAACTATTATTATTATTATTATGATATTCCCCACACTTTTTTTTTTTGTGTCGAGTTTTAAGTCCTTATATTTACAATTGTGCCTAAGCCCATACGGGGGCGCAGGATCTTTCCTAATACCCAGCCTCCTTCTCCCACACTTTGTCGGCCATATTCCAATTATTCCCCCTCTCCATACAGATGCCCATACGCTGGCATTATATCTGAACAATTTGTGTCCTAATTTTAAGCAACAATGTGCAATCGCAATCCGAGTATTTGGCCCCAGCCTTGTTCATTCCATTCCTGCTCTGAATTATATTCCCTCTGCTAATCTTAAGCGAATCTTAAATATATATAAACTATTTTTTTTTTTCTGACAATATGTTAAACGAAATTCGTTGCAGTTGTTTGTGTGTTTAGTCTAAATTACCGTAAATAAATACAATTCCACATATACCATATTCATTTACCATATACAAAAGTCGCCTTTCTTTGAGGCTCACAATAATTTATTGGGGCAAATAAAACTATCAAAAACTGATTAAAGGGCATTGAAATATTCGTGTTAGCTCTCGAGTTATCAGGTATTGACCGTTGGTTTCTTCGTTGTGGCCTGTGTTTCCTAGACTAAACTCATCGATCTTGAAAATTAATTGTTTCTTGACTATCTTCAAAGATATTGTCCAGTTAAAGCTATTTTTCTTAGAGTAACATTCTAATAATAGCCATAACTCGGTTAAATTCTTAAGGAATCTGCCTAGTCGTGTGTCAAAAAAATGGTTATAAACTGAACATTGAGCGTTCCAAAGGACATTTTAATCGTCCTGTTAGTTTTCGAGATTGATCTGTTTAATACTTGAATACCAATCGATAGAGTCGTGAAATTCAGCGCACTTTTTTTAGAAGATGAATTTTACTTTAAAGCCGTATCCTTAAGGATTCACTGCCAGCACAACTAAAGTCAAGGACTTTCGGAATTCGTAATGCTTACAATTCTAAGGCATCTTAAAGTTCTTTTGATTTCAAATCAATTCTGATTTCTGATCAAAAAAAATTGAACAAATAAAATAAATAATTTATTAGCTAGGCTACGGGCAATAAATAAATATGCTGTTTAAAAAAAAATATATATAATAGACACAAAAAAAAGAAGGCGAAGAAAAAAACAAAAAACAAATGCCGGACAATTTGTCAGGCCGTTGCTCAAATAATATTTGGTATGATTTGATCGTTGTCATCATCCTCATCATCGTAATCGTCGCCATCCTCCTCGTCGTCCTCCTCCTCATCTTCATCCTCGTCCTCGTCCTCATCCTCCTCGTCCTCATCCTCGTCCCCCTCATCAGCTTTGACGGGCGCCGTTGTCGTCGTCGTCGTCGCCGCCGTCAGCTGCTCGTGTGCACTGAGCTGTGGCCCTGCTGGAGCTGGAGATGGCGCACCACTTGTTGCATTAGCCTCAGCTTGTGTTAGTGGTGAGGATGTTGTTGAGTACGCGGAACGGCTCGTTGTTGTCGCCTCGTCAGCATCTGCAATGCCGCTTAACGCTTCATTAGTCGCATTGTGGCTGGCAACGCGTGTGGCAGCGGGCTGTGCGACCAAACCCAGTCCTAATGCCAGTCCCTCGCCCATTGCTGTTGTCCTGGCCGTTGTTGTTGGTTCAGCTGTGGTCTCGCCTAATCCCAGTGTTGGCAACTTTGTTGCCAGCTCCAATTGGCTGCTGCTGTCATCAAGCGGCGGCGGCGTAATGCGCGGTGGCGCCACAGAGGTGAGCAGAAACTCGTCCAATATCTCACAGTTCTTGCCCAGGTAGCCCTGCCGGCACTGGCAGCGGTAGCTGCCATCCTCGCGGCTCAGCGAGATGCATTTGCCATCATTTGCACAGGTGTCCGGATTGTCGAGGCAGTAGCTCAGCTCTGAAACCGAGAAGCGAGAAGCGACAGGTGAGAACTGAAAGTGGAAATTGCAGGTCTGAAGTTCGCTCACTCTCATCGCAGAGCATGCCGCCCCAGCCGGGCCGGCAGTTGCACTCCCAGGGCGCCTCGCAGTCGCCGTTGACGCAGCCGGGATAGGGAAAGCACTTGTCGCACTGCGCGCCCGTCCAGCCCACCTTGCAGCTAGCCAAGAAAAGGAGAGAGAGAGAGAGGGTTAGTAGTACCTGCCAAAGGTCGAAGGACACACGTCACTTACCGACACTCGCCAGGCTTGCGGCAATAGCCATGCTGCTTGCTGCAGTCGGAGGCGCAGAGCGCTGCAAGAGGCAATGGTCAGGGTGAAGGGTGAAGGATGGTCGGAGCATTTGCTACTCACCTGTCTGGCAGAGCAGGCCCGTATAGCCCGGCTGGCAGTTGCACTCGAGCGGCTTGTTGCAGGTGCCGTGCTGGCAGCCCGGCATTGTGGCGCATTCGCTGCAGCTGCGGCCCGCCCAGCCGATCCGGCAGCGACACTCACCCGGCGCCTCGCAGTAGCCCCGCGTACTGTGGCAGCCGCTGCGGCAGCTGGCTGCAAAGCGAGAAAAAGCAAGAGATTATTAAACGGCTGACTTGCTAATCTGTGGCCCACTTACGTTCCGTGCAGAAGAGGCCGTCCCAGCCGGGCTTGCAGATGCACTCGAACGGCTTGTTGCACGTGCCGTGCTGGCAGCCCGGCAGCGGTATGCACTTGTCGCACTGCTCCCCGGTGTAGCCGATCCGGCAGCGGCACTCGCCGGGACGCTGGCAATAGCCTGCAGAGAGTGTGAGCTGCGGATTGCTATTGATAGTTATTTTAGGCTTGCACTTACCATTCATGGGATCGCAGCCCCGCCGGCACATGGGCACCTGGCAGAGATCGCCCTGCCAGCCAGGCAGGCATTTCACGTCGCCCTTTTCGTCGCAGGTGTAGTGCGAGTTCATCTTGTACTTTTGCGTCTTTTCGCAGGCCTGTGGCAAAATGGCTGCTCTTTAGTTGGCACTCAGCGGCTGGCTGCCTGCTAGCGGTCTCTACTTACGCGTTGCTTCCAGAGCGGAATGTTCGAGTTGACGTTCGTCTGGCGGGCATCAAAGTTTCGTCTCAGCGCCTCGCCGCTGCCCATCGTGGTGGCCATCAGCAGCACCAGGGCACCCAATCCGTGCGATGATGGCATTTCTATATATCTGCCTGCAAACGGTATAAAGATCTGATATTAATATTCATTTTCGGAGTTCCTTTCGCATTTTATTGGAATTTATTCGAACTTTGCTTAGTTACGATATTAATATACATATTCGGAGTTCCTTTTGCAATCTATTGACATTTTTTCACACTATGTTAAGATATGATTTTAATATGAACTTTCGGAGTTACTGTTAATGTCTGCAAACTCAATAGCAATACGATATATATATACATTTTCGGAGTTTCCACTTTGAATTTTCGTTTGCTTCGTAAAAGCTTTGAATTTATTTTCGATGAATATTTGCAGTTTACTCCGAATATGCTCTGAATTTAGCACAATTTTATATTGCGTTAAGAACGAGCTTGCTCCGAATTGATTTCGATATATCTGACTTGCTTTTCAAACTCTATTTCTGTTGGTTATTTGGGTATAAACAATTAATACTCTGCCTTGAATCCATTTATTATTAATATTTGTAGTTTACTCCGAATTTATTAGTTTTTTAAACTCTATTTCTGATCGCATATTTTGGCAAAAACAAATAATATACTGATTTTAATAGCTCAGTTTAAGCATACAATCAGAAATAGTTCCAATCAAAGGAATAGACAGACTTTGCTATAGTTGACACATTTGAACTACTCCGAATCGCCACGGACTAGCTCTATCCACCAGAGCTTTAGACTAATGTATACTTTAAAAATAACTGTGATCAGTTGTCAAGTTCTTTATTTGGATTATGTAGATGGTTTTCGTTTCTTTTGATGGATTGTTAAAAGAAACCACTTGGGCAACACAGAGCGACCGCACCAAAGACAATTAACATGTTTGAAGACAACTTTCTTCGTGGCAACGACAACAATTGTAAGAACTGTAAGGTCTAGAGACCCAGACCGACAGACAGACCCGACTGACCGACCGATTTCTTGATGAATCATCAACGACAAAATGACAGACACTCGTTAAAACGTACGCACCAAAAACAAAAGTGATTGAAATGTAAATCCGTAACTTTGCTCAGCTGTGTAAAGAGCTTAAAGAGTCCAATCCAAGCCAATCCAATCGAAGCCAATCCAAAGAGCACTCACTGACGACGTCTGCCTCGACTTGCGTTCATGCGGCGACTAATCAATTAGCCCTGACTTTGACTTTGAAGGCGACTCTGAATCTGAAACTGAATGTTCTCTCTCTCTCTCTCTCTCTTTCTCGCTTTCTCTCTTATTCCATGTATATAGCCAACTCTGTCGTTATGAATGTTGCCTTCTCTGTCTGTGCTGTCGCAGAGAAATTTTTAAAACCGGCAGCTGTTGCTGGCATTCGCCTACACTTGGCTCACAGCTCTTACCTCTTTCCGCTTGGCCCGTGGCACCTGCGCAATTGGGTCAAACGGTAAGTCCGAAATCAGCTGAGCGCGGCCCCGCCCCGCCCCGCCTCGCCATGGAGCGAAACGAGGCGCGACAAGTTGGAAAATTTCTTGTTCTTGTTGGAAAAAACAAAAATGAAAAGCGTTCAACGCATCTTCGGCTTTGTTTTCAAAATTATATTTGTTTCTTTATTGTGAATGCTCAATTTTTCATTACATTAGTCGAATAATTATTTTAGTTTTTCTTTCTGGATTTTCTTTCGTATGTGCCTTAAAGTTTATTTTGAATTTTCTTTTTTCTTTTTTTTTTTTTAGCCCAAAGAACTTTTATTTCATTTAATTTTTCTTTTCTTTTTTGCTTTCTGATATATATCTTTCCATGGGTAAGGGTGTGCGTGTGTGTGTATGTTGGACACATAAATTGGGTTTCACGTTTTTAGCTGAAACTCTGGGAACTGATCTGTGCTCTCAAATATGCGAGTGCAAAGGTGTTTCTTAACGCCGAGAAGATAGTTTGGCGATGCTTGAGAACGGCACAAGACATCTAAGCGACGATGCTTGCAAAGTGAGCAAAAAAATTGCTGATAGAAAAGCTATCGCTATTCTATCTACCAGGCGAAACACTTTCTTATCGTATCGCCCGGAAGAAACACACAGAGAAGAACGCTTTTGGTAAATATTTCTACTATGCCACAAATACAACTATGAACGTCTTTTTATTAAGATTTTCAGTTTATAAATATTCTGAAATTTGTAGAAAACTTCATCTAGAAATATTTCAAAAATAGCAAAGAAAAGCTTGGTTTATTCTTCGAGTGAAGAGTTGGGAATAGTTGCGAAGAGCTCAAAAGAGTTGAGAAGAGTTCAAAAGAGTTGAGAAGAGTTGAGGAGATTTAAGAGTTATGAACGTCTTTTTTTAATTAGATTTGCAGTTTTAAATTATTCTTGAATTTGTGGAATACTCCATCTACACGAAGAAATGCATTCTGATCTTATGCGATGGGAACTGCATGTGTGTGTGCGTGTGTAGGTGTGTGTGTGTGTGTGGGTGTGTGTGTGTGTGCTTAGGACTAGTTTTGCAAGTAAAATGAAGAGCTAATGGTTAAGCATGATATACACATGCATGCAAGGGCGAGTGTTTAAGTAATATATTAACTGTTAATTGCATATGTCTAAGCCGACGGAAGCACATACACTACAAATTGTTGCTGCACATGTATGTGTGTGTTGGTGTGTGTGTGGGTGCATCTCTTATGGCTATCTGGATGGGGTACATTCATTTCTATGCGGACAGGCTAAGTGCGCTGCCTTGAATCCAATCCCTAGTGGGAATACACACACATATATATATATATATATAAATATATCTATGCTAAAGGGGTTTACGGGGTGGCGGGCGGTTCGGAGCGCTAGTTAGTTGTAGCCGCTGCTTCTTCTTCTTCTTCTACTGCTTGGAGAAGACTTGTCGGTAAATTGTGTTGTGTCATTTCCAGCTTTGGACACTGGGTAAATGATCTATTTACAACGTTGGTACAGTAAGAACTCGCCGCAACGGACAACAATTGAAATTGCGTGTTAATAGCGAGCGATTATTGCACTCTCCTCTCCACAAATACCCTTGCAAAGGTTAGTCAAATTGTGTCCTCAAATGTGTATGGAGCATCGAGCATGGAGCATATATATATGTCTAAGTCGGACGGATCGGACAATTATATATTCGATATTTATTATTCATATCATGCGCCCAACATATGAGCAAAATCTTTCCAACATCGGACAACTATATTAATGGGTGCACTGGGAAAATTCTTTGGAAAATATGGTTTGCTTTTCCTTAACAATGCTTCATATATTATTAAATAGTTATTCTATATATTATAATATAGCATGCCATATAGCTGCAATTGGCATAATCTTGTCTATGCCATTTTCATATTTCTCTACTTCTGTAAGGGTATTTCAACTTCGGAGCCCGAAGTAAACTTGTCTTTCTTATAGCTTCTTTATTTGGTTGGTACATTGATTATGCATGGAGTGAGTGTGTGAGAGAGAGAGAAAGAGAGAGAGAGAGAGTGAGAGAGAGGGTGAAAGAGAGAGTGGGGCTTGTGGAGACAAAAAAAAAACACGTACACTTTATTTCAATTCTTAATTAACTTTCTTAAAGTTTAAACACTTATATGCGAGCTCTTGTCTCAGTGTGTGTGTGAGTGTGGGTGAGGGGTTGAGGAAGGGGCGCTTATTGAGTTATAGACAGCTGCAAGTTCGATATGATGCTAGGATATGATATGGATGAGTGAGCGCGTGGCAGCAACCATTCAGGCTAGTCGGGTGCGGGGCTGGAGCTGGGGTCTGCAGCTGGGGTCTGGAGCTGGGTTCTGGAGCTGGGGTCTGGGAATCGGGGAATCGGGGAACTGTGTACTCGCTACATAGACTACGCGTTTACCCTACACATACTGATACCATACTCTATATATTGACGTGTCAATCGGATGGTTCACCACAAAAAAAAAAAGAAGCAATTTCGACGCAATGCCATTTGCTGGTTTAGACGAAGATGAACTGCGCATGGTTGCATTTCTTGGGCGGACCGATGGTCAGACGCAGCCATTTGCCGCGACACGACGGCGCCGGCAGCGCGCTCCAGCGCGTCGTGCGCCCCGACAGCCCCTCGCCACGGCAATGATAGCTCAGCAGCAGCTGTTGCTGCTCCTCCTCCTCCCGCTGCTTCTGCTGGAGCGCTGGCGGCAAGATTGGAGCGGCGCTTCGTTTGGAAGTCGCGGAGCGTGCACGATGCAACTGGCGCTGGTGCTTGTATTCGTGGCTTTCATTGCTGCCCACTTCCGTTTCCGGTTCCGGTTCCGGTTCAGCTTCAGGCTCGAGCATGTTCTGGGCATCGTCCTCCTCACTAGTTTCCTCCTCGTCGTCCTCGTTGTCATCCTCGTTGTTGCTGCTGCTGCTGCTACTGCTGCTGTCCAGCCGGTCTGCGTCGTCGCCATCGTCCATCGAATAGGGCTGAGCCATTGGAGTCTTGCGTGTTGTAGTCGTCGTGGTTGCAGCTGCTCCACGGCTGCCCTGCTTGCCACCTGCGGTAGCTGTTGCTGCATCCTGGACGAGCGCCTCGAGGTCACAGCGAACCGTAATGCGATCGCCTGTGGTAAGAGGCAAAATTTAAAGGATTAGTCTGCGATTCAATTGAATCTAATATAGACTGTACAGTGAAAACTCTCTCCTTTCATCTCAACAACATGGCAGCCAGTGTCCGTCCAAGCGAGTTTTCACTCTACACATATTTCGAAGTACTCACCTTCTAGCATTAGATTGTAGGGCGGCAGCTTGTGGCAGGCCTTCGAAGCCTTGATTACCTCGAACTCTACGCAGTATCTGAAAGAAAAAGTGCGCAAGACAATTAATTAGCAAATGATAAAAGATAAAGCGTTTGATTGACTGACTGACTGATTGACTAACTGATTGCCTCGATCTCTATGCAGTATGTATAAAAACACAAATAAATTTATAATGAAGAGCTTATCTAAAAGAATTTAAAGCTTGATTGTTTGATTGACTGTTTGATTGAATGATTGACTGACTGACTGACTGATTACCTGGATCGCTACACAGTATCTGCAGGGACAGAACTAATAATAAAACCTGTATATAAAAGATAAATGGATTTAAACGTTTGATTGACTGACTAGCTGCCTGATTGACTGATTGACTGATTGATTACACAGCAGACTAGATAGTAGCAGCATATATGCGAAAAGATTAATAATAAAACGTATATGTTAAAGATAAGTTCATTTGCGGCGATTGATTGAGTAAGTGTTGGACTGATTGATCGACCGACTGACTGACTGATGATTGAGGCATGGTCCAATTTGTAAGAGCTGCAAAGCTCGTATTTACAGAGTAGTTACTTTTAGTACATTATGATATATAAAGATATAAATATATATTATTTAAATAATAATAGACAATTATATAGATAATGTTATTTTCATTTCATAGAGATTATGAAGCCATGAAATTTCTTTTCACTGAATCTCTTCTCACTCGGTTAGGTTTAATTTTTTGTAAATTTAGTTCAGGGGGCTGCCTATTAACTGCGTTTTGGCATTACAATGAATTTTGACATCAGCCATGAAAATGCATAAAGTTGGAAAATGGCAGGAAAGGAGAATAAAGGAAGGACAGAGGGCACAGGGCTGACAGATAGGCGAAGGCCAAACGACGAAGGAGGAACGACGGCAGCACAGAATGATGATTATTGCGCATTTGAGCGCAGCCGAAAAGAAAGAAAAGCTCCTGAGGTGAGGTAAGGGGAGAGGGGTCGCCGCGGGGCTGGGCGGGGCATGGGGCAAACAGTTCAAAGGCGCCGCTAGTCAACCGGAAATTCGAACTGTCTATTAAGCCTAACAATTTCCGTTTCCGTTACGCAAAAAACGCAGCGAATCCAAAAACAAATACAATAGAGAAAGCGAGAAGGTGAGATATAGAAAGGGAGAGAGAGAGAGAGAGAGAGAGAGACGACTGTCAAGTGGCTTTGGGTGTATGTGTGCTTGACAGCTGTCAAGGTGTTGACAGCGGAAATTGCGTCGGAAATTCAAATGCGCCCTCAAACGTTGTTGCCCTCATCCAGTTTTAGTCGCATCGCATCGGTCGGGCGGATATTTGGCCACTTAGCCACAAGGGCTCAATTAGCAAATCGCCGAATTAGCCGGGGCCTGCATTCAATTGGCGCCACGGAAATCAAAATCACAAAATCTCAAAAAATCAAACCAAACGAAACAACACGTGAGAGTGTTCCAGATGGGCGTTGCCTGACTGCGAGATACCCAGCAGCTAGTCACACACAGTTGAGCTTCATTCTGCATTAGAGCCTAATTCCACTGTCAACATTTCTTACATTTTTTGCGAATGTGAAATGTGAATGTTGCCTGTACGTTTTCCCATAAGAAACAATATTTTTCACATTTGCTAAATTGACATTCGGAAATTTGCTTATGGAACCGCAGAATGTGAAGTTTGTAAATGTTACATTTATTGAGCATAGTGGAATCCGGTTATTGATGAAATATTTAGAGCTTAAACAAAAGTATGCATATGCCAAAGCGCAGGGCCATTCTAAAAACTAACAACTCGAGTTTAGCAGAGGGAAAATATATCGACATAAAGGATAACACATAGGAGAATGTAGAGAATGTAGTTCTTCTAGTGGAAGGCACTTTAGGGAATGTAGAGAATGTAGAAGAAGAATGTAGACTGAATCGTCTCTTGATGCTGATCAAGAATAAATATATATGTCATGGTGTTTACTTCTGGGCGTCACAAATTTGGTGACAAACTCATAATAGCCTCGACTAGGTCATAAAAATGGCGGCTCTGATAGAAATATAATTCGTGCCGTCGACGGCTTTGTCCGAGCTGAGCACTTAATTAACTTGGCGCACAGCCTGTCCGGGCCAGCCTCTGACGGGCAGCTCGGCCAGGCCATAAAGGTAAATTGAAAAAAAAAAGAAAGGAAAATAGGAAAAAATAACATTGATGTAAATAAACTTGGTGGCAGCCGCCGCACAGAGTAATAAAAATAAACAAGGCAATGCACAAAACTTGAGCAGCAAAACATAATTAAACTCAAGTGGAAGCAACTTCTGCAGTGAGGGGGGGGGGGGGGGGTGCCACCTTTAACGATGACAAAGAACTGAAACTCAGCCTAGTTCACATGGCAGCAATGCGGCTTCCCAATCTCTCGAATCTTTTTTAATCTTTCCACAATTGCCAAGTCTTTGTCCAAACTAATCCGATTCCATGAGGATTTACATTTCGGCCATGCACAACATTTGAATGTGACAATGTTTTGCTTAATTTTGTAGAAAATGTCACATGAGAAGTTGTCCGTTTGGGACACAGGAAAATGTTGTTTAATTTTCAAAGGTCTTAAATGGATTCCTGTCATCAAAAGCTAGCCGAGCGATTATTTCGCATTGCTTAGTCTTAATACTCTTCAAGAGGGTATTATAAATTTGTCATAAAGTGTGTGAAAGCGACAACAAATATATCTTATCTTGTCTGTTTCACAGTGAAGCATCGTGCAACTGTGCTCGAATCACAATCAATCAATTTATACTGAAACATCTGGAACCGTTTACGAAGCCATCTGCTTCCAGATCTGGATGCCGTATCGCCAGCTGTATACTCTTCTCTCACAGCCGAATAGGCAGCTTGGAGAGGGGACGACGTCGTCTAGACTGTGGCCGGTTCGCTTATCCAGATACTTTACCACTTGAGGTCATGCAGACCATCGTTAGGCCAGACTCTTAGCATCTCAACTCTGCGTAGGATGTAGCAGTACCTTGCTGCACTAAACCGTATCTAGTTGAATGTTTCAGCTGCCAGTCCAGCTCTCAAGCAGCTGCCAAACTGCCTTCTCCAGGTGCAGGAAGAGGGCCAAGAGAGAAGCAAGTGGCTCTTCCGCAACAAGCTAGTGTGGAGCAGAGATCCTCTACATAATCCTGTCAACATCGGAGCAGCATCTCATAGCTTTATCTTTATTGGACGAATCAGCCTAATCAGGCAGAATTAGTCAAAATATCCCCACAAAAGATATCCCCACTTTCAGCTCTGCCTTTTGTCTGCTAGGGTATTCGCCTGGCCGGGCATAGCCGCTCTCTCTGTTGATAGCTGCAGTCGAAATCAATTTATATTTACTGTCGCTTCATATTACTTAGCTTAGCCTGGCAACATGCCTTCGACAGCGTTCCGCTTTTGCATTTTTTTCTTTTTCTATTTGAAGTGTCATTTAAGTAAAATTTAGCTTAAAAGTGAAACCATGGCAAATATATTTTTATGTTGCCTTCTAGGCTCTATTTCATACCATACCCTCCAGCTCTCTGCCCTGTTGTGTTGTCCTTAAATCGTGTCAAATGTGTTCATACGCCCCGTTGTCCCCTGCCCGCTGTCACATGCTCTATTTGCAGTGCTAATTTTAGCAGCCAGCCATCCATCGAGCCGAGCTGCCAACTATACATTGTCAATATCAATTATTTGATACGGCCGGACGACGACGGGTACGGCGAGGGGTCCAAAATCGCATGCATAATACATAGACATATATACGTAGAGATATATATATATATATATGTCCTTTATTTGCGCGGGCAGCCAAGCGAAACTGTCGGTGCAAGGACGATGAACCGGCCGATGGTGGCGATGCTGGCGAAGAGCTAGTTCCAGGCGTTGTCCCTTTGCATTGCCGTCGGTCGCAGGAAAGTATGCAACAAGATTTGCGCGCTGCTCAATCATCATTAAGGGGCGGTGCCGCAGACAAAGGGCGTGGCCCGGGGGCAAAGGAAACTAAACGAAAGTCCTGCAGAGAGACTCACTCGGCTTTTGGCCATTCAGGCGGCTCACTCAAGCGCCGCAAAGTGCTTCCTTTGGCCAGCCCCAGACACGGACGCCGCCGCCGGCCTGCAGCTGGCCCAAGCCCAAGCCCAAGACCAAGCCCGTCCAATCCGGCTCGAACACGGTCCGGTGGCGAGTGTTGCCTGTCGCCTGTCGTCTGTCGCATGTTGCCTGATGGAGCCATCGACTAAATCCAAATTGAGATGTCGCCGCGTCGTTTTCGTTTCCGGTTTACTGTGCGGCAATGGGTAAGGACCCCCTCTCCGCTCCTCCAGCAGTGGGGAGCACCGCAAGCAAGCGGCCGCAAGCTGTGAGCCAACTTTGTCAAGCAATTATTTTTAGCAGCCGGAGAAGCGCCAGACCTCGCTTTCTTTTCTTTTTTGCTCTTCCTTCTTTCGAATGTGCTCCTGTACCCATTGTAAATGCGACAACAGGGCATATTCACTCAGTGCACACGCATGTGACAGGCATAAAGTGCCGGACGTTCTACTCGTCTCCATTTCCCATCACCATCTCTTTATCCTATCTACCCAACACTTTATTTTATTACGATGCTACAATATGCTTTTCTTAATACTCCTCTGACAATTTGTAGCTCACTTGCTTATCGATATCTTATGTTATCGGAAAATACAACCATAGCAGAACAACAATAATGAATACTACCATACATGTAATAGTATGTTTCTTTAGCCACACCTTTAACGCATTTTGTTTGTTCAAAAAGATCGGACTATAAGCACCGACGGTATGAGAAAGACGAAGCACAGCCGTATGTGTGTGTGTGAGAGAGTTTGCTTGTGCATGTATGTGTAGCAAGAAGCTGGAAGGCTTTAAACGTCAGTTGAGTTCAGTTTTAGGGTATCTTCTAGTCGGTCACTGGCGATGGCAGCAGCTCTTACATGTTTTATTTGTGTTTGCCTTTCATATAAACGAGTGCAAATACTTTTTTAAGTGCCTGTATTCCTGTTCCTGTTGCT